GAGGAGGCGGAGGAGGAGGTGGAGGAGGAGAAGGAGGAGGCGAGGAGGAGGAGGTGGTGGAGGAGGAGGAGGACAGCGGTGGTGGTGGAGGTGGTAGTAACGGTGGTGGTGGTGGCGGTGGCGGCGGTGGACGAACGGGGGCGGTGGTGGCAGCAACGGCAACGAGCGAGGGCAGAGTCGTTGACGGTGGCCGACGGTCTCGGGCACGAGTTACCGCGACGAGAGTACATTACCTATCGCACGTCGAACGAGAACACGCATCGGACGCGACACGTTGAGCGTTTCGACAGTCACAGCCAAACAAACGGCTTTTTCCCTTCCGTCTCCCACGTTCCTTCGTTCTTTCGTTCTTTCGTTTACTTTTGCTTCTTTTCCGCTCTCTTTCTCTCTCGTTCTTCGTTTTCTTTGGTTTCCGATCGTTGCCGAGCGCATCGTATCCCGTGGTTGTCGGCTCGGTCAGACAGCTTACACTCGTCCCCAGCGAGGGTCGATTCGTGTGCGCGCGTGCAACTTTCGACTGACGCGTGATACTCTTCTACTAGTCGCGAGGAATAGCCACGGGACGGAGCGTGCAGTCGAGAAGAGTTGGACGAGAGTGTAGGAGCCAGGATCGAAGTATTCCACGGATCTTGGATCCGATCGTTCGATAGGAGAATCGGCGACTAATTCGAATTCGCGATGGCCGACGATCAGGAAGCAAACAACACGTGCGAAGATTCCCTCGGGCCCGGCGATGCGAACACCGCATTTGCGAAGAAAATTCGCGGCCGGAAAGGAGCGCTGAAAAAGAAGAATGTCTACGTGGTGAAGAATCACAGCTTTATGCCGCGTTTCTTCAAGCAACCGACCTTCTGCAGTCATTGCAAGGACTTCATATGGTGAGTGTCCTTTTCTCGCTCTCCCGACACTTGTTTTCTCTGGTCTAGTCGCTGCGCGTTTCGCTCCCGTTCCTTTCCTTCCGCCGATTTCTCTGCTCGCGATCGCGATACCGACTAGCTCTACACACGGGAATTCCGTGCTCGCGACACACGATCGCCTTTATTCTTTTCCTGTCCTTCTCTCTATCCCCTCTGCCGTCTCGGCGGCATACATTTTATGGATACATAAATCCAGTGGCCGGTAGCTGCCGGTAGAGTAACTCGAGCAACGGTTAAACGGTCCGGCCTTGAGAATACTCGCGCTTCGTCCAAATTAGAAACGACGACCGAACGAGAGAGATGAATTCGAGCGCGGGGTTTTCAAACGGCCACGAACGACCGACCATCCGTGAAACCACTCTGGTTTCTCGATTATCGACTACGACTACCGGCTCGTGTCGCACCTCCGTTCCCACCTACGAGTCGAATAGTCCCGCGAATAGCGCCGCGAATAGTACCGCGAATAGTCCCGCGAATAATCGACGCGATACGTCGGATTAATTGGTGGAAAAGTGTGCGGGGAAAAGAAGGTTACGCTACGGCATAACCCGGATGATGTCTAACGAGTAACATTTAGGTGCAGTTGAAACGGTTACAGGCATTGACGCACAATAGCGAGCGCGACCCAGTAACCAAACTAACTTGTTTCACCGACATCGATTTTGCCGTTCAGAACGGACGCAACAGACGTTTCCGATCTAATTCTTCCGCAGCTTTTGTCGCTGCCTCCTCGCGGCCGAAAGAAGTGCCAGACGATCGAGAAGCCTCTGTCCGGTCTTGGCCACCTTGGCTCCATTATTTCCCCGTTGCGCTCCTTTGCCTCTGGTTTTTTCCAGTTTCGTTCGGTTAAGGAGATCGACCACGAATAATTGGGTTAGATTGCGACAAATACGATTAACCGCCATCCTATCCGAGATTCTCTCCGATTAATCGGATCTCGTTCCATTCGATTCCAATCCGAAAGCGTATCACCCGAGGGAAAATGAAAAATCGAAAATCGAACGATCGTCTTCCGAATACTTTCCATTTCGTTTCGGGTCTCTCTCCCCTTTCGTTGCACGACGTCGAATGGAAAGAGGAAAGAGGAAAGACAAATCACGGGGTAAACCGTAAAAACGAGGAAAGAGGGGAAGAAGGAAATGCAAAGGAAAGGAATAAAGCTTCTGTCGAGTTTGCTCCGAGGGAAATAACGATTCCGTTACCTAATGGAACAATGGCGAGCATCTTTCCGAGGATGGAGAAATTTAAGCTTGGCAGGCCGCAAGATTTATTTCACTGGCTTCTGTCTATTCGCGAATCACGTGGCGTTATCGCGAGACGTAACGTATTTAAAACCATAAGTCGTTATCGAGTTGTGTGGTTTCGCGTGACGAACCTGCTTTATCCGTTCGAATAGCGAACACGAACTCGCAGTTGGTCTCCAATTACACGCTTATGTTTTTTCCAATTATCATGACGCACATCCAATCTTCAGCAACGCCGCGACTTTGGCTAACGCGAATACCGCTTAGCCTTATCTTCGGCTAGGCAAGAAGAGGAATTGCCGTTTTCCTCGTATCCCATAACCGTGCTCCAACTAATCGAACGGATCCTACATCGCGCGTACAGGCGAGAGTCGGATGAAAAATTTTTCGTGCGAAAAATCGGATGGATGATCGCGATACGTAGCGACGCACCTGGATCGATGTACGCGAAATCGGTGATGGATCGGTTCGACGAAATCTTGACGAAATTTCGATGGAAAGGCGGGAAATTTCGACGTATCCGGTATCACCGTCTCGCATCTTGGTCCGCATGCGGGATAGGAAGAAAAGGGGCGAGAAGGGGATGGGTGGATGCAGTGTGACGCGCGATGTCAAAGAGGGTCAAAAAATCGATGACCAAAAGAATGGCATCGCGGAAAGGGCTGCACTCTCTTTGCTTTCGGCTTGCTCGGCTCACAGGCCGAAGAGTGCAACGAGAGAGAGAGAGAGAGAAAGAGAGAGAGAGAGAGAGAGAGAGAGAGAGAGAATTTGGGAAAGATCGGTATACCAATGGTGGATGGCGGTTGTCGAATGATGAGGCGTTGGAATGAACGTCGTTGGTCCCCCTCGAATTGGCCGCGGAATCGAGAGGAGGGTAAAGTGGCTTAGGGAGAGGAGAGATGTCGGTATGGAGAAGAAAGTTAACGCTAGGTAACTGTCGGTGAAACTATCCTTGGAATCTTTCCGGTCCAACGATCCATTTACGCGCTAGAGATGTGGCAAGATGGATAAAACGTCGAGGGAATTAAGCGACTTGCACTCGCAAAGAAGCGTCTGTTTATCGGACGAAGGTTTTTCTCTTTTACGGAGAAGGTAGAAAGAAGAGAGAAAAAGGTGAAAGAGAAAGGAAAAATCAACCGGTTACGAAGCGAAAAACTTATCGGTTTTTTCGAGTTGGATACTTTTAGCTTATCGATCGTCACCTTATGGCGAGAGGAGACGTACATAAGCGTGTACTTGGTCGGGGAGTTCTCGAGCTGCGTTGCTCTGGGTCGTTGGGAATTGTCTTTAGGTCGTTCGCGTAAACGTAAAAAGTTAAGGTAAATGCGAGCTCGGGAGAAGCCACTGATCGGAAAAATTCGTTTCTCGTCGGCGCGTGCTCCTCTTCAACCCCTTTCAACTGCGATAACGAGACTAACTCGTCACGAGTTGTGAAACGTTAGAACCGAATGCTACACTCGTCGCACCAGCATCGCGTCTTAACGTGCGCGAAATTCGAAGTAATTGGAAAATTTGTCTTATCACGAATCGTACAGAGATACAGTGGCGGACTAAAGTTAAATAGGGGGGAAAGGGGAGAAATAGGGGAAA